CCCGCCTGCCGCCCCGGCGCTTCGCCAGACGCTGTCTTCTGTTCGCCCCGTGTGAACGGTGAGTGCGGGCCGGTGGTTTCGGCGGCTCTAGGCGGCACACACGCGGCGTGCCGCTCGCCGCAAGGCTTTCTCCTTCTTCCCCGGACACTGAGCGTGGCTGGTGCGCGCCACGTCCCCTCCGCCAGCCCGCCGTCACGACGCCTGTTCACGCGCGCGGGGTCGCCAGGAGCGGTCTGGCTCGCACCTGATCACCTGCTATTCAGCGAAGCCTGGTTATGTGGGTACTTTGGGGGAGAAGAACAAGGTGCGAGGGAAGTTGTCGGGAGCGGGTGCCCGGCAGGACTGGCACCCAGACAGCCAGGGTGACCAAGCTAGCGTTGGTTTCTCTCCCCTGCAGGCGTTGCAGGATGAGCCTGGCGGCCGGCGGTCACCGGGGCCACCCCCCCCCCCGACTGTCCTCCGTCCTCTTCAGTACCAGGCACTCCTGCCCAAGGCGCTCCGCCACAGGAGGACACTGATGTCCTGGGCAGAGCCCCCACCCCGCCAGCCTCCCGTAACCAGGCAGCATTGTAAGGCAGTTCTGCTGCCGCTCTTGCCGTGAGCTGCGCAGACCTCACCGGCCGCTGCCCTCAGTGGCCAGGCGCGAAGCACGGCCGGAGCGCACGGCCTCCACCCGCACCCGCCGGGCTCCTGGGACTCGCTGCTGCGGCTGCCGGCCTCAGGGCCCAGCCGTCCTGAGTATAGACGATGCCATCTGCTGTGCGGCTCGCCGCCCCCCCCACACCGGGTGGAATGGCGGCATCTAACCCCCCGCCGAAGCTCTTCCCCGCCCCTGCCGCGGGCCTGCGGCCGTCCCAAGGCCTGCGCTGGCCAGGGGAGGCGCCCCCTGTGCCGTGCCCGCCAGCTCTCTCTGTGGACCCTTTAAAGGCCAGGGTGACGCAGGTGAATCCCAGACTCTCGGGAGTGGGCAGAGGGAGGGAACAAAGCTTCTTGTTTCTTTAAGAACACCGGAAAGACGAGGAGGAGTGTGCCCAGATGCCCTGTCCTCTGTTCGAAAGAAGTAACGCATCATCTTTTCACATTTCGTCTCCCACTGAAGGAGCATCAGATGCCTGTCTTGCCTCCCCCAGCTCGGGCTTCCGACTTCGGGGGCCGTGAGGAGCAGCGCGCCTGCACGCCCAAGTGCCCACTGCCTGGGCAGCGGCCAGGGGGCCCGGACAGGACACGGGCGTTTGCCATCTGCCGGCAGACCCTCGGCAGAGAACGCGCCTCACCTCCCGGTTAGAGAAGTCACGCGAGGGTGCCAGTGATTCTTGCAGGGGAGACACGGCGCGGGCGACGCGGCCCTCCAGATCACGGTCAGCGCCAGCCTCCGAAACGGGGGTGAGGGTGTCGCCGAGGGGCGCTGCGCGCTCGCGGGACTCAGGAGGCTGGCTTTCAAAAAGAGGTGTTGACGTGTGCACACGGAACCGGGGCGCAGGCCAGAGGTGCGGGGCGGAGAGAGGACTCCCGGGCACAGAGCGGGGAGCGGGACAGGCCGGCCGGCGGAGTCCCCGCGGAGGGGGCCGCGGGCGGGTCCGGAGGGGTCTGCCGCGCCCTGGGGCCCCCCGCCCGGGGTGGAACTCGCGCTGCGGCGTCTGCGACAGCCTCGTGGTGCCTTCACCCGCCGCGGGGCCAGGGAGGTCCCGGGACGCCCATGTCCGGTGGGGCTCGTGGCGGGCCCGGCTGGCGGGTTACCCAGAGGACATCGCCGTGGCAGGAGCCTCGCTCTCGGCCCCCCGACAGCCCTTGGACGGTCCCCGAACAGACGCCGTTCCACAGCGGAGCGGCCAGGCCGGCCCCCGGCCGCCACCTCTCCCCCCGGGCCC